GTGCTTCACCCATTTTGGTCGGGAGGCCATTTGGTGGATGCATTCGCGTGACCATCTTTGCCAAAAATGGTCACGCATTTTTTGCACGTGTTGCCATCGAGTGATTGAGTTGTCGGCCCTCTCGCACAGTGAAGGCTCAGGTATTGCTAGTAAGGGAGCTCCAATGAGGAAGTGGCCAGGAGTTAGTGGTGAGAGGTCGTCGGGATCGTCGGAGAGGGCTTGAATAGGTCGCGAGTTCAAGCAGGCCTCGACTTGCGCCAGGAAGGTGCTCATCTCCTCGTACGTGAGCGTGGTTTCGCCGATGACTCGTCGCAGGTGGAACTTAGTGGATTTCACCGCCGCCTCCCATAAACCGCCGAAGTTTGGTGCGGCGGGTGGATTAAAATGCCACCGAATACCTTGCGTGGCAGCATCATGAGCTAAGCGACGGCCGTCGGGTGACGACGCGCGGAGAAGCTCACGCAGCGCTCTGTCTGCTCCAACGAAGTTGGTCCCACAGTCGGAGTAGATGTCAGAGCAGAGCCCCCGGCGGGAAGTGAAGCGGCGGAGGGCGGCCAGGAAGGCCTCCGTCGTGTAGTCTGAGACGACTTCGAGGTGGACCGCCTTGGAGACGAGGCAAATAAAGACGGCTATGAACGCCTTGTGTGCTCGATGTCCTCGTCCCTTGCTCGTGCGGATTTGGATCGGGCCGGCGTAGTCTATGCCGGTCCGGAGGAACGGGCGAGCCGGGATGATCCGTGCCGGTGGTAGGCTACCCATCGGAGGTTGCGGTGAAGCGGCCCGCCATCTCGTGCAAGTTGTGCATTGATGCAGCAGTCGCTTCACCAGCGCCCTGCCGCATGGAATCCAGAACCGTTGGCGAAGAGAACCAAGCGTTAGCTGCACTCCTCCGTGTAAGGTTCGCCGATGGCATGACTCTACGATGAGGCGAGTCAGCCATGACGACGGGGGTGCTATCAACGGATGGCGCTCGTCGTGGGAGAGCTGCGCGTTCTTGAGTCGTCCTCCGACTCTCAGGATGCCGTTGTTGTCGAGGAAGGGGCTCAACTTGACGAGTCGGCTCCGGAGTGAGACAGCTCGACCTGCCGTCACTGCCTTGACCTCGTCGGGGTAGTGTATCCCTTGCACTATCCTGAGCCATCGTTGCAGTGCCATATCGAGATGTTGCGGTTGGAGTGTCTGTGGATAGCCAGCGTGGTGACGCTTGTCGCGTGGGGGGCTGCCTGTCGCCACTGAAGACACCAAGCCGTGACTCTTAAGAGTCGGTGCAGAGTGGAGAATCGTAGGAGCATGTCCGGTTCCTGTATGAGAATTCGAACGACAGCTTGTACGACTCTCCTTTCGGGTGTCTCGGCCTCGATGATCTCCTTACGCTCGTTCGGCCAGAAGGAGCGGTCCTGCCGCAGCCAGGCGGGCCCGGTCCACCAAAGCGGGTGTTCGAGTAGTTCGCTGGGCGTGATCCCCCGGGAGGCGCAGTCTGCGGGGTTTTCCCGTCCAGGGACGTGCCTCCACTGGGCCTCCGGAAGAAGCAGCTGGATGAGTGAAACTCGGTTGGCTACGAACGTCTTCCATCTGGATGAGTGTCCATGAATCCAATGGAGTGTCACTGATGAATCGGACCAGAGGAAGATGGAAGCTGTGGACAGACTCAGTGTGTCGCGGACGTGTCGCGTTAATTTTGTCAAAAAGGCGGCAGCGCATAACTCGAGCCGAGGTAGAGACACCTGTTTCGTTGGTGCTACCTTGCTTTTGGCTATCAACAGTGCGCAGTGATGTGGTCGTTCCTCGTGACGCGGAGGTAGACTGCAGCGGCATAGCCTCTCTCGGACGCGTCGGCAAAACCGTGCAGCTCTAGTTCGGATTCTGGATAGTCGCTGTTTAACCAGCGGTTTACGCGAATTTCCCCGAGCTTTGGAAGTTCAGCCAGGAGGTGTTTCCACGACTGCGTGTCGGCCGACGGGAGCGGTGTATCCCAGTCTAATTGCTTCAACCACGCGGATTGTATCAGGATTTTTGCCCGAATTACTACGGGAGTGAGCCAGCCCAGTGGATCAAATAAGCGCGCGGTTTCCGAGAGGACGCGTCTCTTGGTGTATTCGGAGGCGTGTTGCGGGCGAATGTTGAAAGTGAAGTGGTCTTCAGTGGGGTACCAGAGGAGACCAAGAGTGGAGTGGCAGTTATTTTCCCATAAGTGCGGGGCGTGCGGGAGGAGATGCTCTTCCGGAATTCCGCGTAGGATCCGTGGTGAGTTCGCGGCCCATTTTCGTAGGGGAAACCCGCCCGCCATGCAAATCTCGCGAAGTTCGTGCTGCACAGTGATCGCGTCGGATTCCGTGCTTGCCCCCGTCATTATATCGTCAACGTAGCTGTCGCGACGGAGCACGATCGCGCCGCGGGGATATCGAGTGCTTTCATCGTCGGCGAGTTGGCGGAGCGTTCGGTTAGCGAGAAATGGAGCAGAGGCGAGTCCATACGTTACGGTCGTCAGGCGGAATTCGTAGGTGTTCTCGGAAGCGTCGCGACGCCAGAGGATTCTCTGAAAGTCGCGTTCATCTGGGTGAACGATGATTTGTCGAAACATTTTTTCGACGTCGGTAATCATCGCAAAGCGGTGCCATCGCCAGCGCATGACGACATCGGCGAGTGACGGCAAGAGATTAACTCCTATGTGAAGGTTACTGTTTAGTGACTCCCCAGACCTCGTGAGCTGAGATCCGTTGAAAACCACGCGCAGCTTGGTGGTGGTACTTGAGCTCCGTAACACTCCATGGTGGGGTAAGTAGCACGTGTTCTGGCTTTTCGCTCCGTCGGGCAGCGCCACAACCTCCATGTGTCCAAGGTCCTCATACTCTTGCATGAAGGAACGATAGAGTCTTCCGAAGCTGGGATCGCGGGCGCATTTTCGTTCCATGACGGTGAGTAGCTTCTCTGCTGGCTTTCGAGTTTCGGCGAGGTTGGCTGGTGGTGAAGAGAACGGCAGTCTCACGATATACCGTCCTGTGGGCGTGCGCTCGTGGGTGCGCATAAAGTGTCTCTCGCACTCTTCTTCCGCGGGAGTCAATGTGACAGGAGCAGGAGGCTCGCTCTCTTGTTCCCAGAAACGACGCACTAGTTCGGTCAAGTCGTAGTCGGCTGTGCACTGCAGTGAGCTGCGAGGGCCCCGTCCAGAAGCGACGTCGCAACCGCCTGAGAGTATCCATCCCAGACTTGTCTTTTGAGCTATGGGAGTATGCGGGGCGCCTTTGCGGAGACCATCTTCGAGGATGGTTGCGCAGACGTCTGCTCCCAGTAGCAGCTCGATCGGATCATTTTCCTCGAATCGCGGGTCGGCCAGCGGCAGTCCTTGTACGTGGGGCCAGGACGTCTTGCTCTTGAGCGCGGACCCTTGATATAGTGAGAGGCGCGGTAGGACGAGAGCAACGGCGTTGATCTTAGCGCCGGTGACGCTGGACGAGATACTCAACGACACCTTGCCACGAGTGGAGCCGGGTTTCGAGCCTCCAATTCCGTGTATTGATACGCGCGCGTGAGATCGCGGTAGGCGCAGTCGCTGCATCAGAGATTCGGAGACAATCGATACTTCAGAGCCCTGATCAATGAGTACTCGTACTGCGTGCGGATCTCCGAAGCGATCGGCTACGGTCACTCGGGCGGTCGCGAGAAGGATAGCTCGGCGTTCGTCGTTCTGTCGCACGGCGGACAAGGCGTTGGCTTCTTCGGGCTTTGGCGTGGACGCGTACGAGTCGTGCAACATCGTGTGGTGTCGCGACTTGCAGGTCATGCAATTTTTCGTCGATTGACATTTCGCCATGGGGTGGTTACCGAAACAATTGAAGCACAGTCTGTTCGCCTCGACTACAGACTTGCGATCGTTGGCGGATTTCGTCTTAAATTCCGGACACCACATCAGGGCGTGCTTGTCCTTGCAGAGGACGCAAGATGATCCCTCTGAGCGTTTCACGACATGTGTTTTGGCAGATCGCGTTGTCCCCCCTTGGGTTTTTATTGTGCCCTTTGGTTTGGCGGCGTTCAAGGTGAGGATCCGCTTCGTTATAAAGTCTAGCAATGTATCGTGGCTTGGCGGATCGGAGGAATCGCAAGTGGAGGACTCCCACTCTAGGCGGGTGCGCGAGTCGAACAGATCGACCACGAGGTGATGGAAGAGGTCCATACCGTGCGAGGCGATGGGTCTTCCGATATTCTCCTGGGCATTGACGGCGGGGACGAGACGGCATGATAGATGCGGTCGAGTTCCTCGGCGATATCGGACTTCATTTTTGTCACGGCGGTAAACGCGGCGAAGTTTGAGCGTATCAGCTCCCTTTTGTTCTCGTAATGACGAGTCAAGGTCTCCCACGCGCGTTTGTAATTATCCGCGGTTATGGTTAACGAGCGAATTAACTTTTCAGCGGGACCGTTAAGACTCGATCGAAGATAATGGAGTTTTTCGACGTCCGTCAGCGAAGCGTTCTTCCCAATGACTGACTGGAAGAGGTCGCGAAAGGGAGGCCAGTCTTCGTACGTGCCCGAGAACTGAGTCAGCTTAATGCGAGGCAATGCAGTTTTGAGCGAGCTATCGGTGGCAGATTCCTTGGCGGGATTAGCCGGAGCTGTTTTAGCCGGCGCGGGTTTAAGCTGCTTCGCGTATTCGGCGAGGGTGCTACGCTGTAGCACGTAAGTGTTCTCGGTCGAGTCAAATAGAGCGGACTTAACGTACTCACTTTCTTTGAATTTCTCCCCTATTTTAGCGCGCAGCAAGTCGTGTTGAGCCTCGAATTTCGTCCATTGTTGATCGAGCAGAGAGATACGAGTCTCGACGGCGCTGAGCGTGACGTTGGACGCTCCCATCTTCTTCAAGTTGTCGACCGCACGGGAGATGCGGCCGTGAAGATCGTGCTGGGCATCCAGCAGGGTTTGCTGATCCATACTCATCTTCCTCTTCCTTTGCAGGCACCCTCGGAGATGCGGCTGCCGGTGAGAATCCGGCTCGAAGGACCAGAATGTGCGGGAGCGGTCGAGAGCGTGCAGGGAATCTGGTTGGATACTGAGCGCGGAGTGGTATGGGCTTTCTGATTAAGTCTTGATCAGCTGAGCGACGAACAAATATATTTACAGGAGTCTATTTACAGGCTATTTACAAAGAAGAGAAACCTGCACGGCGCACCAGGTTTCTTAACTCC